CAAATCATGCTCTGCGTTTGGCTTTCCCGTGGGATGGTGGTTAAGGTCTGGCCTTGACACTGGAAACAAGTAGCTCTGCCATTTAAATTGTGACCTTGAGAAAAATACGTAACCTTTCTGAAGCTTGGTGGTTTGTTTTTGTTTGTTTTTTTAATACCTGTCTCACCGGGTAAAATAAAATGAAATAATGTATGCACAAATTTTAGCTCAGTGCCTGGCATGTAAGTGCTCAATAAAAGGTGTTTATCATTATTATTGGAATCTTTAGGAGAGATTGGAAATAGAGGTGGGATGATGACTATCCTTTGGGATTCTCCTGTAAATTGTTTAAGAAAAATTGGGTTTCTACCAAAGGGCAGGAATGGAAGTCTTAGGACTATTATTTCTCTGAAATTTTTTTTTCTTTATCTGCTTTCTGAAGGTTTTAATTTTTCATCCTCTGGAAGAGAAGATGTAGATGTGAGGACGTTAGGAAATGGTAAGATTGCAACAGCATCACTCGATTAGAACTAACTTTCAGATTATCACTATAGTTTACTCTAGTCACTGACTCAAAACCAAAGTGGGTGGAGCCCAGAGCTCCTCTCCAAGTGAGAAAGCTTTGTGGATTATGGAGCTATGTTTATAAATTATATAATTGTTATGTTTTAACTGGAGTCATTTCTTCAGAGGCCATTTTTATTGCATACCTGTAGGTTACCAGGGACTTTTATGTGCATTCAGCAGGAGGTGCCTGATTTTCCCCCAAAAGTTTGATTGTTAATTGTTCCATTTAATAACATCTCAGCAGGACAAGAACAGTTTTTAAAATGCACATCTTCGTTGAAAAAGTGACTCTGCTCTTTTTTTAGCCTTCATTGCTGGTTTTACGTTGTTTCATTACAAGAAAAATGAGAGCAATTTGAGATTTATAGATCCTTCCTCTCATAGAATCACAGCTCTTCTGTTTCACGAGAGGATTAAGCTAGGAGGACTGATTTCAGCGAGGCTTACCTGGACATGGCTGCATGTGACAGCATGACACTAGTGTAACCAAGTCCGTTAGTGGTCGTTTAGATTTTATTTTGTAATTAACACAGGCTTGCCTGTGGACCTTTGGGAAAGCAGTCACTTTCACATATTGCCTGCATTGGGGTTTAGCAGCCCCCCAAAGCCCCTTAATTCTTTTCACACATTCTTCCCTCCCCAGATGTAGCTAAACTTTCAGTCCCCTAGAGCTCACCTCATGTTTTCACACCTCCTAACCCTCTTGCACTTGCCCAAATGTTAACTCCATCCACACGTTTCTGTTTCATGGCGGGGTGTGTGCTGCAGGAAGGCCCTTTGCAATTGAGCTGGTGAATCCTCATAGAGTACATTTCACTTCACAAGAAATTAAGGAACTTCAGCAGGTAAACCACTTCATGACATGGAAACCGTCCTGTTTGTGCCACTCTGTAACTGACCTGGAGCTGCTAATTGTTTTTCTTTTTCTGCTACTATAGAAAATTAATAGCTCGTCTAACAAAATCCAAGTCCGTGACTTGCAGCTTGTCACAAGGTAAGGGTAGGCTCACTGGAGGTCATTTCAAAAGGGAAGTTTCAGAGCATATATCTGATAAGGGAGATATATCCAGAATATATGAAGAACTCTTACAAACCAGTAATAAGAAAACAACCCAACTAATGATAGGGAGATGAGTAAGTGGACATTTCTCTGAAGAGGATATATGAATAAACCAATGAATGCATTTAAAAAAATGCTTAATGGCATGAATTATTTGGGAAAATTCAAATCAAAACCATGAGATCCAACTTCACTCATTAGGATGTTTGTAATAAAAATGATGGAAAATAACAAGTGTTGACAAGAATGTGGAGGAATTAGAACCCTCATGGGATTGTAAGTGCAGCCAGTGTAGAAACAGTTTGGTGGTTTCCCCAAAGGTTAACATATGACCCAGCAATTCTACTTCCAAGAGGAATGAAAATGTACATCCACACAAAAAAAACCTACATGAATATTCACAGTAATGTTCATAATTGCAGAAAAAGTAGAAACAACCCGAATGTCCCTGGATAAACAACATGTGTTATATTCAACCATACAATGGAATATTATCAGTGATAAAAAGGAATGAATTACTAATACATGCTACAACATGGATGAACCTCAAACACATTATGAGGTGAAAGGAGCCAGACACCAAACACCACATATTGTATGATTCTATTTTATAGGAATTTCGTGCACCGGGCCTCTAGTTTTATATATTCAGACAAACGTTGTTTGCTTGCTTGCTTGCTTGCTTTATTTATTTATTTATTTATTTATTTATTTATTTATTTATTTATTTATTTATTTATTTATTTATTTATTTATTTATTTATTTATTTATTTATTTATTTATTTATTTATTTATTTATTTATTTATTTATTTATTTATTTATTTATTTATTTATTTATTTATTTATTTATTTATTTATTTATTTATTTATTTATTTATTTATTTATTTATTTATTTATTTATTTATTTATTTATTT